AAACCTTTTTGGCACCCCTCGAGTTGTCCCATTTGGCGATGGAGCAATACTCTATTGTTATCGTCGATGAATCGGTGCGCAGACTCCGAAACGTCAATTTTAAGGCCTCGTACACATTAGATAGTTTTTTTTTAAGATTATTAGCAATTTGTATTGCCCAAATCTCCACTGTCCTGTCCACTGCTGGACAAAGGCCTCCCCCAAGGATTTCCACAAAGACCGGTCCGGCGCCGCTCGCATCCAGACACCTCCCTCGACCTTTACCAGATCGTCAGTCCACTTAGTTGTTACACAAAGTTGTTATAATTGTAAAAGAAAAAAATCATAACCCTCTTTCTGGCGCAGTCGGGCAGCATTCCCAAGAAGCATTTTTTATAATCGATCATCCAAAACAAAACTTGTATTCCCATCAAACTTGTGTCCATTGGTTCCGCTTATCTGGAAGCATCCAAGCTTTTTATTTATGGCTCTTTTACTGTCCAAACTTTACTACAGTGCGTCCGCACCGCAACATGGCGCCGCTCCAGAAAACAGTAGTAAAATGTACGATGACTGATTGCCGGACGGTTGTGAATGGCTGAGTTGATCTATCAATACTTGAGGAAATATATCTATGCAGGTGTGGGACACAGTGAGATATAGTGTGAAGCTACTGTGGGTATTTCTTCTTAGTTTGATAAAGATACAAGCCGCTACCAACCGGCCATTGTTGAAATCATTGGGAGAGGCCTATGTTTAGTAGTGGACGGCCTATGGCTGAAATGATGATGATGATGAAAGACACTATTTTGATAAAGGTAATCTAGATTTGTAATCTAGAATGGATTGTCAAAAAAAAGAAGATGAAAAAATTAAGTTTATTTGATTCAAGAATACAATTCACAGCTTCGTAAAATACATAAAACCGTCGAATCGACGTACGCGGGGACTCATTGCAAGTCACTTGATAGATGAAGAAGAAGGAAAAGGGTTTTGCCAACATTAAAAAAATACAACAAATTAATTCGTCATCGTCTATGAACCACTCATTGCTTTAAGATCACCATCACTTCTACAACACTCTCATCTGCTGCTGAAAAAAGTTCTTGAAGCATCAGGTCCTAGCAATGCGCATTAGATAGATTCGACTCGTGAATCGCTTGCTACTTTTTAATTCGATAGCTACGCAGCTGAATTTGTTGACTGGTCAAATTCTAGTTCCAGTCCTAGATGCTTAACTTGTCTGTCTAATGTTCAATCAGATAGAGAATTTTTTTTGGTTATTTTGCGTATATCACCAATATTGTCTACAAGATCGATCGTGATAAAGCGTAAGCATGTTCACGTCACGCCTCTGGCTTCGCTCCAAGCGCTGACTAACAAAGTGTAGAGTGACGGATAGCTTAGGAGCACTGAATGAATTACACGCTGCGATAAAATTATCGCGAAAATAAGTAACTATAGGCTGATTGATAGTCCGGTCACATACAGGATGTTCTGCAAAGATGGTCTCGAGAATGTAATAATAATGACTCGCTGAAAATCAGTGTCCTGTCATGCTGACAAGACAAGTTTATGGATAGCATGTCGAGTGTTCATAAACAATGTTCATCACTCAAAACTCATAACGTTACTGAAAAAACTGTTGTTGAAAAATATGCTACGCAACCATGAACAAGTTTCTTTTCTTAGAAGAGTTTTAGCACTGATCCTAATGATGTTAAATTCCCTAGATTTCCCTAGACACAGTGTTCCCCCAAAACACGACCCTAAAAGGTGTTTAAATATCGCATAAACAGTCTTTTGCTCGCAGTCTCACACAAACCCTTGATGATTCAATTCGAATTTCATGGAACGCTAATTCGATCTCCGTCGAACGCTGGACTGTTGTGGTTAAGCCACTCCTGCACAAGATATTTACGCCCGTATTCACATACATTACTATGAGGTCTCACAGTGCGCGTGGACTCATAGGATGACATATGAACCAATCACAGATGTTTATTCAACGCTGTGCGTTAGATTTGCTGCTTCACTTAAGCAAGCATCGTTTGTGAATACGGGCGTTAGCTTACTTGGCGGAGATAACAGAGATTATTAATGATTTGTTTACGATATACTAATTAAAAATACTTCAAAGAATCGCAGAAAAAGTGGGTCACGATGATAGTTGACCCTAATAGGCTACAAACAAGCAGCTAATTGAATGGAGATGTCCAAGTAACGGCGCCGACCGCAGGTGATTCGAGCACCAGCGCTGGCGCCGCGCCAGGAACGCTGGTGCCCAGTGCTGGCCGGAGCGGGAGCGGGAGAATTTGCGAAGGATCGCAGTAATAAATTGACCCATCTTACCTAAGTCTGTCGCCATAACAACAATGTTAAAAGCATTGTTGGGTTCCGGCAGTTAGAGGTAAGATAGCCAGTTCTTCCGTGGTTGAGGATTTCGGGTGAAGCTCGCTTCCACCTTCGGCCTGATCGTCACTTACCATCAGGTGAGATACAGGGAAAGAGCTTCCTCGTTGTGGATAAAAAAACCCTAAAATAAGGCAGTGCGGTTCTAGAAAAGTGGAATGTCTCACTTTTCTCGTTGGTGTCGAAAGAAGCGACAAGGAAGAAACATGTTAGCGTCCCAACCATAACATGTTTCTCCCTTTCCCGTCTAGCCAGCATTGATACTACCTAGACGGTCAAATTCTACCTTTGCTTCTGGTAAATTAGAGACCATCAGATATTTGGAAATAATCGCGGGGTTAATTGACCCTAGTAGGCTGCAAAATGCAAAAAGTGTATTTCTGGCGGAATAGACCCTTAAGAAGTTAACCCATTATACCGCAGCAACAGCGGCATCTCCCTTGGATTTGTAAGCTGCTGTGTAGAGGCTTGTGTATCTTCCCGCTCCTCCGATAACTATGTATTGTAAAATGGAAAAAGGCAGTATGGTTCTGGCAGGATAGAACAGGACTGTTCTATCCTGCCAGAACCACACTGCCTGTCCTGTGGTAATCAAGGTGGGTCCGCACAGCGGATAAACTGAGCATAGGTGGACTTCGGGTTAAGGTTCGCTACACCGGCAACTCACCTATGCTCAGAAAGAAGGACACTGGTGGATTTTTAGAGGGTAGGCCCCCCTGCCTGGAGGGGAGAGCCCCACATAACCCGTCGCCTGACCACAGCGGCGGGTATGCAGCTCAATGCATTTTTACCACCTAAAAAAAAAGGATAGAACAGGACTACCCTTGCTCTTTCCGTAGATGTTGGAAGCGACGATTTCGGTTTTCCCAACCCGTCTAACCAGCATGAGAAGTCTTGGTCAAATCCTCCCTTTTGCCTCTAGTAAATTAGACACAGTCGTCCTACTGCAGTGTAGGCTAAATGACCTGACGATGATGAGGCTACAAACAAGCAGCTAATTGAATGAAGTCGTCCAAGTAGCGGCGCCGACCGCAGGTGATCCAAGCACCAGCGCTGGCGCCGCGCCAGGAACGCTGGTGCCCAGTGCTGGGCGGAGCGGGAGCGGGTGTAGCCGCAGTTAGGGATTCTTTAATGATTGTTATTGAAAAAAATACATCAGAATTGGCTGCAAATAACCGCGTGAATCTTGCAGAGACTGTGAGGGTGGTCCCGTGAGTATGATAGAGGTAACCAAAGGATAAATATGCGAACATCAGGACTCCCAACCCCTCTGACCAGTGTCAAATCCTCCATTTTGCCTGTGGTAAATTAGAGAGGGTCATCCTCCTTTAGTGGAGACTGACTGATGATGACATCAGGTCAGGTAGTCTGGTAGGTTGGAGTAAAATGTCAGGCCGTTTTCAACCCGTCTGGTCAACGTGAGGAGGTCAAATTCTGCCTTTTGCATGTGATAAAAGGTCACCAACTCAGCGTTAAACGTAGTATGTCACTTACTGTAACTTTACCACTAGATAGGATATAAGGACTGATATTATGTGTAAGTAAATAGGTCGTCTAGTAGAGTACATATCCGCGTAATAGCATTTTCACTCTCACCCCTAAAAGGTCGTTTTATTTCTTCCCCGCTCCGCTTCCCACCGTCACTTCTCCCATAATTGGCTCGGAAACAAACTATTCCACATTACGTTCGTTTTGATTGAAACATAACTCTCTGGGCAATGCGCCTTCCTGCCAAAACTCCAACACCCGAATTCGGACCGTTACTCAACGGAGTAGAACTCATTATAAAGTGGAGCATACGGATAAGGTGCTTTGTTATGCATGCCAGTGCTTTCGTTATTGTTTAAGATTAGGAAATCGGATTTCGACAATGTTTCTGGATGGATATTTGGTTTGAATGAGTTATGAGAAATAATATTTATCTTAGGAATGATAAATCTTTGCAAAACCTATCAGTCTGCCCGAAATTATTGGCCTACTGAAATATTGATAAGCAGAAATGGGGTGAAAAATTTCTTGCCTTTTTGGCAGAAAGGCAATTTCTTTCATGAGGAGTTCGGGGTTTTGTTCCCAAATGAGACATGAAAATTGCAAATGTTTTGTATTGGTTCCTACGTTGTTTAGATTAGGACATCATTATCCTTATTTTGAGCTAATTTCCTAAAAAACAAATAATTTATAATACTTATGTACTTAAAACTGTGCTTTTGAAATACTTACAGTTCTTCTGTTGCTATTATATTTCATGTGAAACAGTACCATAACATCCGTAAGTCCGTTGCTTCCTTTTCATTATCATCATCAACAGCCCCTTACAGTCCACTGCTGGACTACGAGCCTTCTCCAATATAGTGGAGGGTTTTGCCATAATCCCTACGCTTGGCAGGCGGGTTGGAGATCGCAGTTTAAAAAATGTATGGTTTTCAGAGAGCGCGGCTGCCCGTTCTCTGTTTGATGTATAGTCTCTAAGTCGCCTCTTACGACACCCGCGGGAAGAGTAGGGGTTGGTGACAAATGTATTCTACTCTGCCGTCACCACACGGCTTATGATTCCTTTTATTAGAAAAATAGGTACTTTGATATTAATAATGTTTTATTATTATTACCAGGTGAACGGCATAGTCCTGCACGGGAGGTGCCACCTTAACGCGTCTGCCATCATCAAGGGCCTGATCGGGCCCGTCTTCAAGATCATACTGCTGAGGTAAGAGTCATGAAAAAAACACTGATATTTAACTATAGCCTAAACACAGTTGGCAGCCATCTTCTTAGATTGATAATAGGGATGTTTCCTGGGTAAAAAAGCAAAAGTTCGTCAATTAACTTATTAAAAAATACTCGAGACGTATTTTTAACTTTTTCTAACTCATGATTTAAAGAGATAAAGCGCGCCAAAGTTCAAAAGAAGAGACCCGTGACGTCAATGAGTGCTTAAAAATGCAGCACTGTGACGTCACGTGGAACTTCAACTTTGTAATTATTTGTATGTGTGACAATTAAAAGTAACGAGTCCAATATTTTTTGATAATATTGACGGACTATTTTTTTTTTAAGAAACTAGCTTTCTTAAATTACGATCTATCACAAAATTATTTCTTCTTTATAGCCACTTCAATATTTTTTGCGACAAATACAAAGCTTACAAGAGTTCTTTAACAAGGAACTACATTTTCGCCCACGTTATTGAACAACGAACTTTCTGATCGCCACACACACTCACACATAACATCTGAAGCTTAACAAGAATTGTCACAAAAGCTTCACATCTCGAAGGTTCCGGTAAATTGTAAGAAATAGAACCTCTTTCGCCCTCAATTACTGATAACAATCTTGGAACGTGTCGGTTTCAAAGTAACCGGATTAGATATTCCAATTGCTCGTGTGTGTTTGAAACGGGAATGAAATTCAGGTAAAACAATAAATAAAGCAGGCATACGGTAGAGTGTTATAAGAAAATTGGGGATTTTTTTTTACGAAATTAAACAATTTCGGAAGTTAAACAATTTGAAAGTCATGAAATTCACAACTAAATGCAGGGCACTGCAAGAGTAGTAGAGATTAATTAAATGAGCTGTGTTAGTGATGATGCTCTTACAAAGTAAAATCCAAATGCTCTTTTGTAACCCATTATGTCGTAGTTTAATATTGAAGTGAAAAAGAAGATTTTATTTAATTAACCTTAAGGTAACAATGAAAAAACGTTTCCTTGTGATCAGTCAATACAAGAAAAAGAATACAGTCGAATTGAGAACTTAAAAAATCTTGATTAATCACGAAATCTTAGAAAGCAAAACACCTACAAACTTGTTTGGCAGGTAGGTTCCAAGGTAGATATGGTGTAAATCGGGATCCGCGCATACGAAGTCGTGGGCGGCCGCTAGTGTTTTTTAAATACAAGTTAGTGCTAAATGTAATTTATTAATTCGTTATTATTGTTTCAGGAGAAAGTCTGCGTTAGAAGATGTAGCAGTAAAACCTCTCAACCCCTCACAGTTCCCAGTCGCTTTGGAGGAAGAGGTAAGTCAAATCTATAATATGTAACTATACTAATACTAATATCATAAAGCTAAAGAGTTTGTTTGTTTGAACGCGCTGATCTCAGAAACTACTGGACCTATTTTAAAAATCCTTTCACCGTTGGATATGTGTGATCCCTGAGTGCTATAGGCTTCATTGTAGGTACCAAACGCGAAACCGGGACTGAATGCTAGTGAATTTATATCGAGAAAGCTTTTTCTACCTTTTGGAAGGCGTCGCCTTGGGCGATAAGACCGACATATTTTTACAACATTTTTCAAGCTGTTTTATTTTAAACTTAAAAAAAAGTGTTTATCTATGGCTCTTATGCCGAAGCATTTCCGGAGGAACATAAATAATACATGATTTTCTACTTGAAAACTCTCTTATACTTCAGGTGCAAAGGATGCCTCAGTCGGATTTTTTGAAGTGCCAAAATGTTGATAATTAAATTAACAAAATACCATAAAAAATATAATCATATTATTATCAAAGAATATGGTTAGATCAAAGCAAAATACATAATTGACATCAACATTGCAAATACTGATGGCATTATTTTCGTTCCACATATTTGCTTTACAAACTTTTATAGGCGTTCACTTATCTACGAAGAGTTTTGTCTCTACAATTTAGTTTCGTTGATTGTCAATTGTTTTTTTCTTAATATCTCTTGGTATAATAGGTAATTTCTATAGTTTGGTTAGCATTCGAGCTGTAGATCCTGGTTACATAGAAATTATAGAGGTGGGAATCATTCTGATTGATAATACCTAGACTAGTGAGTCGCGGTGGCTTCGCCCGTTTGACCAATTAAATTATCAGGCTTAATTAGACATTGACATAGTAATATGCAGTTAATGTCCTTCGGAAATAACGTAATTTTTTGATGGTGAAAAACTTTTCAAACGCTTATAGTGAAATTAGAAAAAAGCCTCTACATACATACACAATAACCCAATAATTCTCACTCTCGCTATAAAAGACTTTGTTTTGAATAACAATTATGGTGGTTGTATTTATTTTATGTTTTAGGTATACATTTGGATTTGTTTTATTTAAGTTTTATAAACATCTAGTATGATTAATTTCGATTGAAGTAGGTACTTACCTAAATAATTATAAATTTCGTAACACAAAATTGTCTGTACATAGAGCTAGACAATGTATGAATTCAGTCATAACAGAAACGTAAGAATAATAACCTTTGAACTATCAGAAAAGATCAGTCTTTTTCTTTCTTTTCATGTTATATTTTATAGCCTTGCATTTATTACTGTAGCATCATTTTTAAATGCATAAAATTAGCGATTCTTCTTAGCCGAATCAAGGACCTGTATCAATATACCAAAGTTATTCGAAAAAACATACTATACATATGAGTTTGCTATGTATGTTTATTATTAGTGCCCGGTGACCTTGTCGGCAACATCTTCCGTCTCCCTCGCACTTACCACACATCTATACCCCATGATTTCAATACGATTTTCCTACGCACAATCATATAAAGGAATGTAACCTCTAAAATTATAGATGTAAAGTTTATATTACATCGCTTCAACAATTTTCAGTGTTTATCATTATGAATCGAACAATAGTGTGTAAGTCCTTCGGATGTTTTATTGAATTATCAATTTTATAAACGGTGGATACGATTCATTTTACATTTGGCTGTATGTTAACATACACAGTTGTGTTTCGTATGTGTTTTGTGTATGTTATCTCTCATTTATAATGTCATATTACCAACTGTTTTTGTAGTTCGCGTATGTGTGAAAACGGAATCGGACGTGTTTGCATATTCTTTTTTATTTAGGTGATAAATCCATTAAATCCAGCTAAAGCTGGATATTTGGAACTGTGATAATAGTGTTTGGTGTAGAGTCACATTGTGAACGGTTGTGATAGTAGTTAACAGTGATTGTAACCTTTAGTTAGTGGTTATTTTGACAAGTTTAAGGTGAAAAGACGTTAAGTTATGCCGTGTTTGAAAAAACGTTTGTAACACTGAATTAATTGCGTATCTCAGAGTTTGCACTTAGGTGTCTGATGATAGATTTGTACCTAAGTAGCTATTTTAAATTGTATGTAAGTAAGTTCGTAGGTTTGAGTAAATTAACTAAATACCTCCATTATGCAAACAGAATATTGCATAATTAATATTATAAAAATAACTTGAATACCTGCGTCATTATTTTTCAAATTGAATATTAACTTAGTACTTTACGTAACAGTTATGTTAGGTATGTACTATTGAACTTGACTTTTTAACGTCATGATAAATCTTAAAAAGAGGTATGTGTGAGTAGGTATTTTCTGACAAATCTTGTACCGTTTTTAAAAATATCTGCACTCGCCGTAGGGATTGCAATCAAGACTTAACTCATTATAAAAAAAATAAAGATACAGTAGTCCAATTCATAGGTAGGTACTGTCAAAATTTACAGTGGCTTGGCTACCTCAACATGAAAGAACTACATGCTATTGAGTCCTAATACATAATGTAACGGATAAGTTATTATTTACTTTTGAAAATGAAAAAATAGATTTCATTGTTTTTTATCTTCATAAATTATCTCATGAAAACTGTAATAACTCAAAATTCATTTTATTTTCGCAAGTAGGCTTTTAAAAAGCACTTTACACGTCCCATTAACCCTACCACTGCTTTGGGACAATAAATGGGCCAGTGCTGAAAAGAAGCAGCGCAAGAAACTCAGTTACTATATTGTCAGTCTCTTTTCAAGGGTAAAGAAGGTATTAGGTATATTTTTTTTACTTTAGTATAGCATGCATTTCCCGGTCCACTTACAAGGTGGACCGACGACCTGATAAAAGTAGCAGGAAGGCGCTGGATGCAGGCCGCTGCCAACCGTCCAATGTGGAAGTCATTGGGGGAGGCCTATGTTCAGCAGTGGACGTCCTATGGCTGAAATGATGATGATAGCATGGATTAGATACCTCAATTACGCGTATTATTTACTTATTTAGATTTCTGATCCCAACACTGTTCAATTTTCCTACGGGACTGCCCAAATAGTCACTCGTTGTTTTTCTGCGGTCAAGGTGTTAGTCTTATAGTAGGGAAGAGATGTGGGATTAATCTTAATCATTCCAAGTAAATCCATCATTAAATACCTAATCAGTATAGGCTATGACTAAAGTCTTCTACCTAGGGATGTGGCATTAATTACTACAACCGTGTGATTGAAGAAGAACAATTAATTTTGATGTCCTTTATTATAAAATACTTCTAAAAAGAACTTTCAAGAAGGTTATTATTGACTGTAGATATATTAAAATTTGACAATTGTTTTTTTTTATTTTTGCGTTTTTTTTATATTTATTTTTGTAGACTCCAGTGACTAATCTATTATTTGAAAACTTTTTTCAGTCTCTTTTATTATTGTTTGAAATTTTTTATGAGTTTGAAAAAAATACAAATGGAAAATCCTGAAAAGTTTCTATGTACCTAGTTAAAATTCAAGAATACCAAAGAAAATTACAATAAGGCAACATTAACGAACTTTCAAGAAGGTTATTATTGACTGTAGATAATTAAAATTTGACAATTGTTTTTTTTTTATTTTTGCAGTTTTTTTTATATTTATTTTTGTAGACTCCAGTGACTAAACTATTATTTGAAAACTTTTTTCAGTCTCTTTTATTATTGTTTGAAATTTTTTATGAGTTTGAAAAAAAAACAAATGGAAAATCCTGAAAAGTTTCTATGTTCCTAGTTAAAATTCAAGAATACCAAAGAAAATTACAATAAGGCAACATTAACGAAGTAATAAATAAAACTAATAAGTATAGCAATAAGTACTTAGGTATGTTTGTTTCTACAGTTGTCCCTAAAACTGTTGTTTTAAATATTTATAACTATTTTCTCGCTTAAAATGGCGTCATTTAATTTGGTTACTAATTTTAGCAGCCATATGCAATTGGCTTATCAAGTTTCGCCATAATGTTACATGCTAAAATCCATATAGAGTCGCGTCACAAGTATAGCCAATATCAAAGTAAACAATATCTTGTAAATGATAATGCACCTCGTCGTATCAAATGGCGTGGGAACGTATTTACATTATCTATTATTAATGAAAAGTCGGACTATACAATATAGTCGCAATATAGCATCTATTGCAAAGATATAAGAGTCAATTGTTTAGCTTGTGATGCAGCCTGTATTTGATTATTAATAGTAATGAGCTATGCGGATAAAACTCTCTTTATTCGTAAACGAGCAAATATTTATAAACAATTCATAGTTCGCGATTTATTTACAAACTAGCGGCCGCCGGCGACTTCGTACGCGTGGATCCCGTTTTACCTTCTTAGGGGTGGAGCTTTGTAAAATCCTTTCTTAGCGGATGCCTACGTCATAACATGTGCCTGCATGCCAAATTTCAGCCCGATCCGTCCAGTGGTTTCGGCTGTGCGTTGATAGATCACTATGTCATTCAGTCAGTCAGTCACTTTTGAGTTTCATATACCTATTTAGAAAGCAGATTCATTTGTAAGGATATGTACGAATTTTTATTTATATTTATCTTCTTTATTTATTTAGTTTTTGCTGGATAAAGGTTACTTCGCGTATCTGTCTTTTTTAGGCTTATTATTACAGATTTTGTGTGAAATAAAAATAAATAAAAGTTCGTGAATTTGATATCAAAAATGTAGGTACTCAAATAAGGACGTAGTAAGGTATGTTTTGAGGATAAAATTAAATACAAATAAACGTGTTCATATAGTATGTATTTACCTACAGTTTAGAACTCTGGGTAAAAATATTTATCTAACTAAATTTTCCCTCAGTGATATTTGATCCCGTAATCTTAACTTGTAGGGTTTTTAGATTTGGTAGGATAAGCTAAATTTTAGAACGTGTATCGTGCCTTAAAAAAGACCTACACTACACACTAAATTAGTTCAAATGAATTTGAGTTTGTAGTCTATTTTTTTTATTATTATTTTTTATTTTCTCTATTAGGTAAACA